CCACTCCCTGTCACCCCCTGCCCCAGGGGAGCCAAGTGCTTGACACCAAAACATCACTCAATATTCTTATCGCTTCTGAAGCCAGAAGGCTGGCCAGTGCCAAGAAGCAAACTGGCCAAGCCCACACAGAAAGGCTCTATCTGCAGGGCCTCAACAGCACCCCACCCGTGTGACCCCTAACCCAGCCAGACTTGGGCCCACACACTGTAAGGGCACACTCCACGAGTTTTCATACACAAAACCAGACCTTCAGAGATAGCGTCATTCAGCTGTGAAATCTCCTGAATGTGTCCACACTTGGTCCTCACCATCGAGTCACCATAAGGTCAGTACCGTGAGGATCCAAGTGAAACCGCCACTGTTTAACACATGGCCTGGCCTTATAGGTCGGCCCACTGCTTCCCTGTGCTGACACCTGACCAGTTATCCTCTCCAGAGACTGGGCCTTCTATCCTGAGCTTACTACTGCTAAGATGAGCACCAAAGACCACTTCAATTCATAACTCTTATATTCTTTAAAGAAAAGCAACCAAACTGAAATCATGACTCCAATTTTCCTTCAAAAAAAAAGGACAAAAAGTAGAATGAGACAGTAATACAGTAATTTGTTAAAGGACCTGGATAGCTGCCACAAGGCCTAGCTTCCAGTCCTAGCACTGAAAAAAGCAAAAACAAAAGCACAACCAAAACTAAACCAAACCAAAACAAAAAAACTCACTAATATATATACATGTTTCCTTGGCCTATCCCATGTAAGTCTCTTCTTCTCCTTCTCCTTCTGCTGCATCTTCTTCTTTTCCTCTTCCTCTTCTTCTATTTTGTTTTGTGTGTTTCACACTCATGGATGCCTGGATTACTCACGTGAGCCGCTACACCTGACTTCCTGTACAGTCTTAATTAGCCACACCAATGAGGCAAGATACCAGCTCCTACCATCATCTATACATATGACTCTAGTTTTCTCTGCAGTGTTGCATCTAAGGTAAATGTCCACAGTGCTTTCTTTAAGAAGAAAAGGCATCAGGAGGGAGCTGTAGCTTAGTGGTAGGACACACATCTGGCAATGTGCAAGGCCCTGAGTTCAATCCCCAGCACTGCAGAGGGTGGTGCAGACTCTGAGGAAAGCTGGGTAACATCTACAAGAATGCCCAGAAGGAACAGCAGGAACAGTTCCTACAGCAGCCCACACCTTCAGGACAGGGGCCGCAGCAATGAGAGCTGGTCTCTGCAGCTAGGCATGGAAGGCCCAAGGCTTCAGCCCCAAGTCCATCCAGGTGACGGTAGCCTAGCCTGGGCCAGTCAGCACCTCATTCTTCTACAGGACACTGACCCGGCCAGGTCACAGCCGTGTGGAAGAGCCATGCTCCACACACTAGGCACACTTGTCCCTGTACCCCCAGCAAGATCATCCGCATGACTGTCAAAGTCTTGGTGTGCAGCCCAAGCTAGTCCCAAACTCAGCATTCTCCTGGCTCAGCCTCCCCAGTGCTGTGATCGTGAGAATGCAGCACTGTACCTGGTTTTGCACAGCTTTTTATGTTGTATTTCACAGACCAAATCACTTCTATATCAGAAGGCGACATATGGAAGACAAAAGCATTAAACCTAACAACTTGAAACCTCTTCCCCGTTGTTTAGTGAAAATAGAACAAACGGACATAGTGGGGCACACCTTTAATCCCAGTACTTGGGAGGCAGAGGCAGGAACATCTTTCTGAGTTCGAGGCCAGCCTGGTCTACATAACAAGTTTGAGGACATCCAGGGCTGTTACACAGAGAAACCCTGTCCCACAGACACCACTCTCCACTAGCAAGCTGTACACTAATGTGATACAAGAAAAAGCAAGAAATGGTAAAGGTGGAAAGAGAATGACAATACACTATGAAAAATTACTGCCTTGCTTTGTAAATCCAGATTTGAAAATTCACACACAGAAAGAAGCAAAGGTCAGCACTCAGGCCAGTCACTGTAGAAGGCCACGTCAGTGGGGTAGGCAGAGGAGCCTGCAGAGGGTGCACACAGGGTAGGGCTGAAAGCAGGGCCTTCCTAAGGCGGACGGTTCACCACATCTTCCCTCCTTCATCGGCTGTAGCCCAGGCGCCACCCACAGTCAGGGCCACCATCTTGCTGCCTGCCCATAGGTACACTCATGTCCACCTGCCGTCTATTCTCAGGTCACCTCAGACCCTCCCAAGCTGTCTGTCCTACAGCGCTCAGCTCAGTCTTGTCCACAGAGCACAACTCCAGAGAGCACAGCTACTGAGGGTTATAGTTCTACCCCAACAATAATTAACAGTGCATCCTACTCTGTCTAACACAGGCCTGCTTATTTACCTCTGCACCCAAGCAAACGGTACTTAGGAACAAACTTCAATACGCTCTGACTATCTCCAGACATAACCTTCCACTGTGCACTTTTGAGTCGTGCATGAATGATGCATCCTCCGACAGGGGTTTTCTTTCAGTTACGAAAATGGCTTATACGGTTATCTGCAGACGACAACAGCCACAGCTGCTGCATTTTTACTTTTCTCTGGTGAACGCAGAACACTTTCAGGTGTTCAGAGTTGTTTTTTATATACACATTGCTTCCCAGTGACTTCACACGTGAGCAGACCAAAGCCTGGAGTAGACAGCCACGGGGCTGTCCCACAGTTGGGACTCCATCGGGTAACCCGGAGTCCAGGCACACAGCACCCCACTGCCAGTCCACCCAGAACTTCTCCACTTGGAAATGCCAGGGCATGTTTCTAGCCTCACCAGAAGTAGCTCACCAAAGATGCGGCTTATCAAAATACCAAGAGGATGCCTTTGGCAAATCGAGAAGAACCAATTCTTTAAAGAGGGCTGGAGGTCATGCATGACGCTGAGGTTCTAATTCAAGCACCTCTAAAACAAAAAGTTATTTCCAATAACTGATTTTTACCTCATCTCTGGACATCTAAAAACCCCTCTGTCAATAACGGGTCTTTCTGGTGAGGCTAATGGATGGTGGGCATCACCAAATATAGCAGCTATTCAGCCTCCAAGAAGTCATGCACTACTGTCTAACTCTGGACTGTGGCTTGGAACAAGGTAACTCATGTTTGCTACTGAAGCCAACGAAATGAGAGAAAGCTCCCAGGGCTGGAAAGGAGTGGTATGTGTTTAAAGGTACTAAGTTTAAACTTCAATAATCTTTTCTAGTAAAAGTTATTTTTGGGTGAAACAGGTATTTGAGATACATATGTTATTAGTTACATTTCTATTGCTGTGAGAAAACAAATGAGGAGGACGGCTCACAGAAGGATGGGTTTATTTGGGCATATGGTTCCTGTGGAATAAAAGCCCGCCGTGGGAAGAGCTTGGCAGCAGATTCGGTGACTAGGGCTGAGGGTTCACACCTGGAGCCACAAGCACACAAGCATGAAGCACAAAGGATATACTCAGAATGGCCCATGGCTTTGAAACCTCAAAGGACACACTTCCTTCTTCGCGGCCACACCTCCTAAACCTACCCAAACAGCATCACCAGCTAGGAACCAAGAATTCAAGCATCTGAGCCCTTGGCGGGGGGTGGCGGGGGGGTGGCGGGGGGGTGGGGGGGGGGGGGGGGGGGAGGCAGTCTCATTGGTGCCACCACAGCTTTGCTTCTGTGTTTATTTGGCTCTTACTGGGAAGGAAACCCAGCCTGCTGTGTGCCAGGCAAGTCTTCTACTCTGAGCCACACCCCAGCCTCGCCTCCTTATATGAAAGGTCTCCCTATTGTAGCCCAGGCTGGCCTCAGACTCAAGATCCTCCTAACTCAGGCCTTTAAGTGTCAAAACAGATTTTCAGCAGTAAATGAGGCTGTGGGTGGAGCTCAGCGATAGAGCATTTGCCTAGCAAGGCAGCTCAGCAGTCGAAGGGAGCACCTGCTTTAGCATGTGCGCGGACCTAGGTTCGACCAAGAAAAACAAGAGTCACCCGGCAGTGAAAATGCTGTCCCTCACCCAGATTCTAAACACAGATACACAATGTACTGTGTGGTCCAGCCAAAGCAAAGGATGAAAGGTTGCTGTCATTTGGGCCCATAAGGAGCCCCTTCCTCCAGCAACAGCTGTGACTGAGACGCACTCTGCATCGAGCATGTCTACTGCTTCTGGGAACCCGACATACTGCATTCAAAACATAGGGTCCACAGCGTGCCGGGGTCCAGCCACCTGCTTGTATTTACTGTGCATCAGGTCAAGATCTACTACTTGATTATTGAGCAATGGTGGGCGGCCAAAACAAGCAAACAAACAACAGCAGTCACCTTCACCGTAAGTGGGACATTAGGATCCTAAGCATCTCATTCAAACACCCCATTATGACTCCTCCTATGCCATTTCAGCGTCCTGTGAATCCACTCCAGATCTCCAGGCCAGAGACAAGGTCACTGCTGCACATGCCCTTGGGCCTTATCCTCAGGGTATGGGACACCCGCGATGCTGGGGACTACAGTCTCCTGTCATTGCCTGAGGAGTTAGGAGGCTGCCCCTAACTCTGCCCCACTGAAGTTCGGGGGCTTCTCACCGCCTTGTGTCTAGGGATACCCACCGAAATGGAGGACTGCATGATGCCTCACCTGCACCTGGGGACACCTCAATAGTGAGAGACTGTCTGTGCCTAGGGGCCACCTGCAGATTCGAGGGTGCTGCTTGCTGCTGCCCTGTGTCCAGATACATCCACTAAATCGAGAGTGGGGGTTGGGGGGAGTATGGACTGCTGGGCCTAGAGAGGGGAACGCGGGCGGATTGGGGGGCAACTGAAACTGAAGTTGGAAGTTCCTTGCCATCCTGTGCCAGGGACAGCGCTGAACTGGTGCTGGGGTGGGAGGAGGGGTGGCTACTCGCTGCCGTCTGTGTCAGTGTGCACGGTCCCGCAAACCCAGGGTGGGGTTTAGCTACTTTGGGGAGCTGGGCAGAAGTGCAACTTTTAAAGCAAAGAAGCAGCCCGTGCAAGCGTCTTGGGACGTGGGGTCGCGGTGCTCACTCACCGAGGGGCCGGGCGCCATCCGCCGTCTGCGTCCACCAGTTGTCCCGCAGCCCCCCGGGCGCCCCGCCCGTGATGCGCTCCTACTCCGCCCGCCGGGGAAGCCCCGCCCACCTCCTCATGATTGGCCGAAGCGGGCCGTGCCGGGTGCCCACTGGCCAGCGTTCCTGCCCGTTCCCTGGCCGCGCCCGGCCCTCGCGCCCGCGCATTCCTGCGAGGCCACGTGGCCACCAGCCGGGGACCCCCCCCTCGCCCCGCCCCGCCCCCAGCCCAACTCCCCGCGCCGCCTCGCGAGTAGGAGTTGTGCTGCCTTCCTTGCGCTCCCGGGTAGAGAATGAGCGCGGGAAGGACACTAGCTCTCAGTGTCCCTGAGTAGGCACCTCTGCGGTCAGACTCCTGGTCACTCGGGTGAAGGGCGAGGGGCCAGAGTGCGCCTCCCCAGCATCCGCCCTCTATGAGACACTGGGAGCTGCGCTGGCGGGGGCGGGCAACACAGACCAGCGCTCCACCCACTGTGACCCCAGCTTCTGCCCGCTCCCTGCAGATCCCGGTCTGGGCTCCCGTGGGAGGGGGTTGCTGGACGACACTTCACTCCGTCTCTGACCCTTCTCCCCCTGTCCACCTCTCCCATCTTGGATCCCACGGGCAGGGGCCACAGAACAGATCCCACACCCAGCAGGGGCCCCGGCATCCTCTGCTCGGTGTAGCCCTCCTCTCCTGTGAGCGGGGAATGCAGGAGGACAGCCCATCCAACCCGCCCCTCCCTGAGCCGTCCTGCCTGCATCAGCTGCTCCTGCTCCGGCCAAGCCCAAGGGGCTGGAAACCCAGACCGTCTGTGACTACAGGTCACCACCTCTTCAGGCACTTTTACAGGGTGCCTGTCACCGGAGGGAGGCTCTTGTTTTCCGAACCTGAGTTCAGCATTCCACATCTCCCTCAGGCAGGAAGTGAAGCAGGAGAGAGCCTAGCTAGCCTCTGCCCGCTGAAGCGAGGCGTCGTGGAGACCGGGGGCGTCACACGGTGGGCCATGGTGATATGAAAAAGTACACAGGTGTCTGAATAGAAAAGCGCTGGGGCACTCTGGAAGGGGCCTTCTGGGCAGTTGACCTTGCTCAGCATGGACCTTTGTTTTGTGCATGTAAGGGAAAGCAAATCATTAAACTACGGAAGGATGACACCACCCATCAAAGTTCTATCTGGTACCTGGTTAGTGCACGGAGCAAACTTGTGTTCCCAAGCTGGACGGTTACTTCTCCCACCGCCCTGGTTCACAGAAGCAATGTGAGCTATGAGAAGGCCAGGCTGTGAGAAGGCAACGCTAAGCCGGCTCAACTACAGAATGAGTTCAAAGAGATACCTGAGCTATGCAAGTGTCCGTAAAGCCGGCGTGCTCTGTAGTTACACACTTCTCTGTAAACCCAAACAGACCACTATGGCTGGGTAAGGCAGATTATAGCCTAGGTATGGTGACACTTCACAGCTCTTCATCACACTCACTAAAGGTACAGCAACCGGTTAGATTGGACTCTCAGACCTGTCTGAACAGACACTCCTACCTACTGTCGTCTCCAGGGAAGGCTTGGGTAAAGTACTCAAAGAACTTCCAGACTAGAAGGGTGAGGGCATTTGACACAGGCCTGTACTGTGGTATTTTCCAACTGGAGTAAAAAGCGCCCAGCATCCCCCAAAGCTGTGAGCCCCTGGGATCAAGGCTTGTGATACTACTGAGGCCTACCACACCAGGCAGGGGTTGGGATGAAGCTGGTCAGAAAGGAGTTGGGCTAGCTCAGATCCTGTCCGATCTGTTGTAATATCACACCTCGTCATGTGGAACTTTCCATTTTAAGTCCTCTTTGACCGACGGGATAACCAAGAAAAGTTAGCCTCATTATCAAACATTTAGGGTTTTTTTTATTATTATGTAAATACATTTATAATTGCATAAACATATTTACTTATGTATGTAAAGCTTATTTCTACCGTGCCGTAGCAGTATACGATTTTAATCCTTAAACCTCATGAAGACACTTGATGGCTAACACGTGTTCTAGCAGATGACCAGTGAGCACTGAACTGCTTCTGTTGTGTAGTCAAACTCGTACTCTGTATTCGCTGATGTAATGTTCTGCCGTGTCAATCAGGTCATATAAAAATAATGACTGTATTCACCAATCTGATATAAAATGTCCCTTTATTCATCACCTACTGAGCAAAGCATAAATGTTAGGGAAACAAATATGGCATCTCACCAGCTCTGCCTGCCAACCCTGCAAGACTCTACCTCCTCTATGCAGGATGAGGTAATGGTGGCTTCGAAGCTGAGGAAGGCGGGACACTAGGCCAAGGACTTGGCTGTCTCCTTTCTTTCTTTTTTGAGACAGGGTTTCTCTGTGTAGTCCTGGCTGTCCTGGAACTCACTCTGTAGACCAGGCTAGCCTTGAACTCAGAGATCTACCTGCCTCTGCCTCCCAAATGCTGGGCAAGGCAGGCTTTGGAATCAGATGCCTGAAAGCCAGCATCTTGAGTAGTGTTTACCATCTCTTGTATAAAGCAGTTAGTACAGCCCCGGTGCTGACTAGAATCCAGATGTGAAGAGGAGGTGTGGCTTGGACACTGTCGATAGCAAGAAATACAGGGATTGGGGGAATGGTCAGCAAAAAAACCTACCTAAGCATCCTGATAAAGATTGAAGTAGACACATCTCCCTCCAGAATGGCCCATTAGACCATGCCCTCCCCAGTGTGTATAGGGTGCACAGACCTCAGGCCCATGCAAAGGATGTGCTTATTCAGTGTGCCTCCTAATTGCCCTTGGAGGCCCCCCTGAGTCTGTGGAGCATGGAACCAACAAAGAACTTCTGCAGAGGCTCTGGCTGTCCCTCAGACCTTACAGTTTAGACGTCTCGGCCAGGGCATGCTAGACGAATGCTGAAGAAGTCCTTTTCTTGCTATTGCACATCCCGGCCTTGCCTCTGCCCTGAGGCCCAGTCTGGCCTCTTCTCCCCCACAGGCAACCCAGCAACACTTTCCTAGGAGCCCTGCAGATACACAGCTTCTCGACTGCAAGCCTATGCCTGGTCAGCCTGGCTCCTTCCTGTGGTCATCTCAGCTGCCGTCTACCTACCCACGAGGCCATGAGGGATCAGTCAGGCACAACTCCAGAGACAGACAGCCCACTGGAACAGACACAGCCCTGAGAGCAGAGTAAAAGGTACTGCAGTACTGCCAACCACACAGCCCATTCTGAGTGTCTACCTAGCTATCAGCGTTTGTCCTTACAGAGATTCTAAAATAAATGCAAATGACTAGAATGGCAGCACCCCTGCCAAGCATTGGTGGGCATCAGCTTCTGGGTACATCAGAGCTATCCCAGGGAGATAGCCCAGAGAGGGATATACTACAAAGGACCAAGTTTTGAGGTTGGCAGGTGGCCTTAGAGACAGCAGAAGGATGTGACTGCCCAGGAGAAACGTTTGAGTGGGAAGCAGTGCTTGCTCTCCTCATAGAGATGGGGGCCTCACAAGCCACACCTGCAGACCTCTAAACTCACTGGTATTCATACCATCATCGTGTGTGGTCCATCTCCTGTCACAACCAAGCAAAGCCACGAGGATGGTGAGCCGAACCACCAACAGGGATGTCATTTTTGTCACAATCCTTTGGTGAGCCGCCCTCAGCTAAGACGGGAGCAATGCTGTCCTCAATCCCATGACTATTCCCATCCATGGGAAATGAAGCTGGCATGCTAAAGTTAAAAATGATGTTCTGGCACTGGATACCAATTGGCACTTCTCCCAGTAGGTGATACCTGGTAGTATGATAGCAAGCAGATCATGACATGAGTATCTGTTAGCTTCCAGGACAAAGGCCAAGAATACCTGGACTGCTGGACCAAGTGTCCCTGACCACCACTTGCAACATGTCCTTGCTGACCACAAAAGCCCTCTCTCCCCCATCTAACTCACAGAAGCTAGCTCTGACCGAGCTACACAGCATCTTCCCCTCAGAACAGGCTGGGGGACACTTCAGGGGAGACAACAGCAGGTAGATGTCGCAGGGGAAGTAGCTTTGGCCAATGGGAAGGGGACACGATAGGCACATTTGGCTTGCCCAGATTGAGCATGTTATGTATCCTCCCAAGGGGACACACAGAGATGAAGCCACACAGCCTAAGTGTCCAATCCTACCTTCCACAGAGCTATGGGCTTTCTACTGTCCTCCTCCCACACACCCTGCACCTCCAGGGGTGCCACCAGCCTGAGCTCTGAGCTGCTAACCGATGCATGTTGATAATCCAAAGAATTAGATCTTCTTCAGGTTCCAGGCACAGACGGCAGCTTGGCAGGCCATGCCCTTGGGATTTCTGGCTCTGGGGAGCTATTTCTGTCCCTGCCCCAACCCAGGCTCCCTGTTATAGACTGAGGCCAAAGGGAAAAGGGGGATGGGGAGGAGGTTGAAAATATGAAACAGAGACTACTTCGGGACCATGTAGATAAGGCTGGCTCTCACTGGAGCTCTTTCAGTGGATCTGTGCAATGCTGTGGGAGAAGGACACATTGTTCCTGTGGGAACAATGACCTTTTGTTTCCAGTTTCCACAACAACTGCCTATTTTCTTGCTTTGCTCACTCATGCTAGAGGGAGAGGTGAACAGCAGAGATGTCTGAGAGGAGACAGTGAGTCCTCTGAGGAAGAGTGAACCTCCTGGGAGGTCAGAGGGAATGGAGAGGCGCTTTAACTAAATACTTTCCATTTCTGACTCCATGAGGCCCAGGGAAGCTCTGAGGGGCTGGCGTGCCAGAGAGGCATACCACAGTAGCCTGATCCTCTTGGCCCTCAGGGTGTCCCAGCACCCTCTGATCTGTTCAGGCAGCCTCTGGCAAGAGAGCAGGACTGGGCAGCTGGAGGGGGCAGTACTGGAGATGAAGGAAGGCAAGAGAATCCACACTATCCTTGCAGTGCCAGCGGGGTCTCTGTGCCACCGTACCCACAGAGCTAGCTCTGTACGCAACTTGAGGGCAGTTCCATGGAAGAACTTCCCCTCTGC